AAAGACGAATTTGAGCACATCTAATTTACCCTCAACAAGACGGATTATATGAATATTTTTGACAAATAACTTTGGGGTTTCTTATAGGATAAAACGGCCGATTTGCAGTTGTATATCAACCTCCAGATAATTTTTTAAGACCTTTTTAAAAAAGCAGCGGGCTGAACGAACAGTTGATATGTATAAAAAATTATATTAAATCCAACCAAAAATCAATTACAAACTTTTCTCAATTTAGGCATTACAGCATATGTCCTCCATACTAATTAAAATCGGGTTTGTCTATAAGTTTATATGCTTATGAACTTTAAAGATAGCTAATATGCCTTTGTCATTTAAATCTTTACAGTGCTGAAATGTTTTCAGCAGAAGCAAATGTTGATTGTTTGCTTAAGTAAAACTACAGAACGCTTCTGTATGTTAATTACATGAAACTAATAGATTTGATGGAATTAAACTAAATTCAATCAGACGTGGCCAGATTGTTGAGAAGGGTCGTTCCACAGATCACTTTCTAAGCTCTTTCAGAATCAAAGTGAGCCTTTAAAGAATGAATGAACTTCGTTTTGATCGTTGTTTAACATTTCTCCCACCTTCAGACGGCAGAGGCGTCACCATGATAAAAACTCCTCCCTCTGCATCGCTGCGGGTCAGGCGCAAAAATGGTCGTCAGATCAGGAAGCATTTTGGCCTGAGCAGAGCCAACGGTCAGGACTCGGAGGGATCGCTGTGGAAGATGCAGTCTGGCCAACGTGACGCTCGTTTCACCAAAATACCTGCAACTGTCATCCAATGGCAGGAAATCACTGCATACCTGCGTCTTTTTGGTGAATGAACACCCTGAACACAGTCCAGTGGTTTAGCATGTAAGTTTGCTTTTATTGTGAAAGGCTCCTGTCATGGTTTTGTTTCAGATGATGATCTCATCCAGCAGTTCCTCAGGATGGACTGTTGCTACAAAATGACTGACAAGGTAAAGAAAGACTTTTTATAACCTGTTAGCCAACCTATTTTTGACCAATTTCTTAATGTTTTTTTTCCCCTTTTTCTCACCAGTATCTTTTAGCCATGACCTTTGTGTACTTCAAACGGGCCAATTTCTCTATTTCTGAATACACCAGGAAGAATTTTTTCATGGCACTGTAAGTCAACAGGAATTAGTGGAAACCTTCAGTTTTTTTGTTTTTTTTTTAAAGACATTCCTATCATGAGCATTTTTCTGTGTCTGTAGCTACCTCGCCAACACCATGGAGGAGGATGAGGAGGAAAGCAAGTATGAAATTTTCCCTTGGGCTCTGGGCAAGAACTGGAGGAGGCAGTTTCCACGTTTCCTTAAGCAGCGCGACGAGCTGTGGGCTCGTATCTGTTACAGAGCTGCTGTCAGTAGGAGCTGCTGTGAGGAGGTGGGACATTTATCTTTGGAATGAGGCAGATACATTTAGGACCATTTAGACATTTGTTCACTCATTTCTCAAGCCTTTATGCTTACAGTTATGCTATTAATAAACTCATTGGGATTAAAGGATATTAAAGTATTAACATAAGATTTTTACAAAGGTTGCAGTTTTGTTTAACAATCAAATTTATAGGTTTTTCAATTGGCATTTATTTCTTAGTGTTGATATGTTTGGTTTATGCCTCTTTTCTGTGCCGATCTTTAGTCTGACTTTAATGTTTTACGAGTGAGAAATGGTTTCCTTCTTCTTTTCCCTCAATGAAAGGTAAATCTGTGAATTCTTGTTGTGGTTGAACCTGAAAGCAGCTTCATATGAACCTGCTGCAGGTCCAGTAATGGCGTCTCAGAGTTTTCTGGACCTCTTCAAGTATCTTTTGGTCTGTTTGCAGACTGAACATCTTCAGCCTAAACCCCAAAAATCAAATGATGTTGACCTGTAGACTGATTACTGTTCAAGGAAAATTCCGGTTTTTAACACTTTTAGCCCATTTTCTGTAGTGTCCAGGATGAAATCGAATGATCGACACCAAAA